CTGTCTCTTTCCTTTAGGGTGTGGTGGTTTGCAACAGAGGTATTGAGTAGCCATTATGTTCGGTCTATAGCCTACTTTCAGCACGCATCTCCAATCGGAATCGTGCTGTTCCCGTTATGTGGTGTTCCCTTCTTTATCTAAGCCTTTTCCCCCAGCATGCACTGCCGGCTTCCAAGCTATGGAGCAAACTTCCTGGTACTTATCTCAGCTATTCTTGAGTGTTGGTCTCCTTTTCTGTTACTTTATATTCCACAGATGAATGCAATCTTTCTAGGTCTGTCCCTCTCTTTCTGACTCATTTCACGTAGCATGATACTTTCCATGTAGAACCACTTGTATGCAAATTTCACGACTTCATCTTTTTAACAGCTGCATAGTATTCCATTGTGTAGATGTACCAAAGTTTCTTTAACCAGTCATCTGTTCTAGGGCACTTGGGGTTTTTCCATATTATGGCTATTGTAAACAGTGCAGCAATGAACATAGAAGTGATGATGATTTTACAGCACTATTGCTGATAGGGTTTCATACATAACACTCTACTACCTTACAGCACCACCTTTCCTCACAGTTGAATGCTTCCCTCCACCATAAACATTGCCCCCTCCCAGTCCTATCCCCCAACTCCCTTAAGTCTCATATTTCCTACTGAAAACCTGTTCGCATGTTGTTTCCATTATCTTTGGGTATTTGTTTTTCCCCCATTATGTTTCTTCATAACCTGCATATGAGAGAGATTGTTCTGAGCCTGTTTTTCTCCCTCTGACTAACTTGACTAGGCATGTCCCTTTGTGTAGCAGAAAATTTCATGACTTTATATTTTCTTGTGGCCTAGCAATATTCTGTTATACATATGTGCCATAGTTTCTTTATCCAGTCATCTATTCTTGAACACTAGGGATTTTTTCCCAGATTTTGACTATCATGGATAGTGCTACAAGGAACATAGGAGTATATGTCTTTTCTCGATTTTGTTTTGGGGCCTTTGGGGTGTATTCTGAGAAGCGGAGTTGCTGGGTCAAATGGAAACTCAATACCTAAAACTTTTAGGAATGAATAGACCTACTTTTATACTATATGCATGTGTTAGAATAAATTAACATATAACTAAGAAATTGTAATGCTGCATTGCCTTCTGTAGGTCATATGGTTTTTAGTTTCTCAGTATAGCCTTTATTTAAATTTTTCATTGAGATTCTGTCATTTGCAATGTTATTAATAATGGTTTCAGATAGTGTGCTTGCCTTGAATGCGGCTGACCCAGGTTCAATCCCTGGCATCCAATATGTTCCTCCAAGCACTGCCAAGAGTGATTTTTAAGTGCACAGCCAGTAGTAACCCCTGAGCACTTCCAGAATTGGCCTCCCCCCAATGAGGTTTTTTCTGCACATAATTCCAACACCACACCCATCACGAGTGTACCCACTCCCTCTCTCAAGGACCCCAAAACTCCTCCTTCCCAACCCCCCAAACAAATGTAGTTCATTCTTTTTAATAGTATATTTGAGGGGAAGGTCTGGGAAAAGGGAAACAGAAATAAATAGAGGTTTATTGATATTATAGTGGCACATGGTAGATACCTACATTCCAGGCGATCATATCTCCTACGATTTTTCAATATACTTACCACACAGGTAGGTAGGCAAGATATGAGACTACCCCACAAAAAGATTTTGCTTAAATCTTCGCAGAAACTCCAGATTTTCTTGGTAGCCACATATAAAAGTCTTGCTTGGAGGAAAACGTGTCAATACTAGAGTTAAGCTCATTAAAATCAAGACGCTAAGGAAGGAATCACATAATTCTTTTATGTCTCACAGTCAAATTTCAAGGCATATGGAGAGAATTTGTATGTGATGTTTATGTGTGTTTGTATATATGAATTAACATGGTTTTGAAGAGTTCAGATCAGGTGAAATAGAAATGAAGCAAACGGAAACAAAGTCTATCTCTACATGAAAATAGACTTTGTGTTTGTCTAGACACCATGTAATGTCCTTCCTGGCCGTGACTAGGTCACATGTGTTACTATCTAGAAGAAGGTGTAAATTTTCCTGATCCCTCAAATTTCAGGGTTTTTAAATTTTTTTTATTTAGAATCTTTAAACAACCCAAATACCCAAGGACAGATGATTAGAAAAAGAATCTATGGCACATCTACACAATGAAATACTATGCAGCTATTATGAAAGATGAAGTCATGAAATTTGCTTATACATGGATAGACACAGAGAGTATCATGCTGCACGAAATGTGTCAGAAAAAAGAGGGACAGACAAAAATGATCATACTCATTTTCAGACTACAAAAATCATAGTATGAGAATAATGCCTAAGACAGTAGAAATGAGGACCACACATGTGTCACCTGCATCTCCCCTCTTAAGATGTGTACTTTCATGCTTTCCTGTCTAATGCTGGGATGTGTGTAGGGGCTCTCTCCGCCCTTGGAGAAGCCTAGGTTCTCTCTTGAGCACGTTACTCTCCACTCTCTCCCACTTTCTCTTCCTCCTTCCCTACAAAACCTCCAAATAAAATCTGTTTTACTTTGAAAAAAGAAAGAAAGAAAGAAAGAAAGAAAGAAAGAAAGAAAGAAAGAAAGAAATGAAGGTCAGTAGGAATGGTTCATGGTAGGAAGATTTCAGTTTTGAATTGTATAATGGCCTAGAGAGGAATAATCTAAAGTGTATAAAGGAAATGTAAGTTTCATATAGACATAAAATAAATATAGCTATCAAAAAACCATCAGAATGGGGAGGGGGGCAGAACCGGCATGTCCTTCCTTTCCCGCCAAGACCACGAGTTACCCCCCTCGAGCAGCTCTCCGGCACGGCCATGGACCCAGAGGCACACAAACCAATCTCAGAAATATGCAACTTTTGACAGAAATACCTCCAGACTTAATTAGTAAAATATCAGAGGTCCAAAATTGCTCTTGGGAGTATGGTGCCGCCAGCAGGTCAATCTGTACCTGTGAAGTGAGTGCATCAGCAGCCTGATGGCACCGTCATCAGATACCCCCAAATTGCTGCTGTGCCTTTGGCAAGACCTCAAGAACTTGGGGTAAAGTTTACCAAGAAAGTAAACGACCAAAAGTTAGGTATGTGGGAGACACACCCACAAACCACCTCCGGCTCCACTGTATAATTGGAGGCATAGCCTCTCTGGTGCCTGATCAATCTGCTTAATGGCCATAATCCCAGAGACTCAGAAATGAATCTCAGAACCCAAAGGCTTTTGGCAGAAATGCATCCTGTTCCTGCAGTAGGTTACTGGCGCTGGGCCACTCCAGGTGGTAATAGGTTTCGTGCCTTGGCCTGTTCCCTCTGGCGGCCTGGTGACTGCCATCCTCCAGAGGCCACTGGACAGTCAGGTTTGGTCCTGCAGTGACGAGACACGTGGGACATGAAGGGATGGGGTGGAACCAGACCTTTCCTCCACATCCCAACGTGACCCCAAGTCGCCGCCTACAAACGGCCTCTCTGACTCCTGATCAAGCTGATTAAAGGCCATGATACCGGAGACTCAGAGACAAATCTTGAAACCCAGTGGCTTTTGGCAGAAATGCATCTGGACTGCATACAAGGTGGCCGCCGGCTCAGAGCTTCTTGGAAAGCCAGATATGTGCCAGCAGTGACGGGGCAACTGCAGTCTCATGGGAAGGGGGCGATACTGGCTCATCCTTCATGCCCTACTGAGATCATGAGTTGCCCCCCACAAGTGGCTCTCTGGCACGGCCATGGCTCCAGAGGCAAAAGGACTTAATCCAGAGCCCGGAAGCTTGTGGCAGAAAAGTGAATGGACCATGCGTTAAACTACAGTGCCATGCCTCCCCGGAAGGGAAAGGGTGTTGCTCTCTTCTGCCATTTTCCCCCCTGGAAGCAAGGTGGCCGTCGCCTCAGAGCTTATATGAAAGCCAGGTACAAGCTGACGGTGACGGGGCAACTGTAGTCTCATGGGAAGGGGGACGGTACCGGCACGTCCTTCACGCTCTACCGAGGTCACGAGTTACCCCCCACAAGTGGCTTTCGGGTACGGCCATAATACCATACACACAGAAACCAATCTCATAATTATCTGGCTCTTTGCAGAAATCCAAAATTTTGGCCACGTGGCATATGATTCTCATAACCAGCTATAGAAAACAAAATATTTCACAATGCCTTTTCAGCAATTCTGATTGTTTGGGGGGAAATTCTAAACAATAATGGTGCGTCTTTTATCGAAATAATGAATGTAATCAATGTAGAAAAGAGTTAAGTAGAGATCATCTGCCTCACAGGCATTTGGAAGGGTGGGAGGGGGGTATACTGGGATTCTTGGTGTTGAAAACACTGGTGAAGGGAAAGGTGTTTGATCATTGTATGACCTAGACTTATACCTGAAAGCTTAGTAACTTTTCCCACAGTGATTCAATAAATAAATATAAAAATAAAAAAATTAAGGTGGACTTCATGCCCAATTAAATCAGCTAATCAGTGGCTGAATAAATAGCAGTACTCCTACAAAAAAATTGCCCTCAACATCATATGGTTTTCATAACCAGTAATAGAAAATAAATTATTTCACGATGCCTTTTCAGCAGGTCTGATTGTTGGGATAAAATTCCAAATAATAATCATGCTTCTTCTGTCGAAATAATGAATGTAATCAATGTAGAGAGAGAGTTAAGTTGAAATCATCTGCCTCACAAGCATGGGGAGAGGTGGGATAGGGGTATATTGGGGTTCTTGGTGGTGGAAAATATGCACTGGTGAAGGGATGGGTGTTTGATCATTGTATGACCGAGACTTAAACCTAAAAGCTTTGTAACTTTTCTCATGGTGATTCAATAAATAAATTTTAAAAAAATCAGAAGTAATAAAACCAACCTGGAAACAGGAAAATTTCAAGGTGTTTTGGTTTTTGTTTTACAGGGTTTTTTTTTTGGGGGGGGGCACACCTGACAGTACTTGGGAGTTGTCAGAAGTATGCTCTGGGTACCATGTGGTGCCAGGCATCAAACTGGGGTTGGCTGCATGCAATATTCCAATTTTTAAAAAATCTCTATAGTTGAAATCACCTCAAAAATGGGATAAAAACAAATTTAATGACTGATATTATGTATTTTAAATGTGCAGGTTGGACAGCGTTTGGAATTGGCATGAAAAAATAAACGATTACATTCATGGATAACCAACAAGATAAGGCTGTTGTTGCCTCAGCCAATGGAGAAAACATTCTGATGAATGGTGCCAAGGAAAATGGTAAGCAAATTTAATTGACTTCACAGCTTTTCCGAGTTCTTTGTTTTTACTTCTGATTTTTAGTTCCACAAAAAATTAGAGCAATTTAAGTCTAGGATGCTTTTGAGATTGATGCCAATACTAAACTCAAATACACACAATTTCTTTTTTTAATTTTATTTTTTGTTGAATCACCGTGAGATACAGTTACAAAGCTTTCATATTTGAATTTCAGTCATACAATGTTCGAACACCCATCCCTCCATCAGTGCACATTTTCCACCACCAATGTCCCTAGTATCACCCCCACTCATCCAAATCTTCCCTCTGCCTCTATAGCAGGTAATTTCCTCCATACTCTTTCTCTCTCTACTTTTGGGCATTATGGTTTGCAATATAGAAATTGAGAGGCTATCACATTTATTCCTTTATCTACTTTCAGTACACACAATTTCTTACAAGGCTTGAAGTCTCTAAGAAGTATCTAATCATAATAAATTAGAAATCTGCTGAGATGAGATTTGGAATGTCTAGATTCAATAGGAGCTTCCTGAACCTCAAGATAGTACCAAGCCTCATAACCCAAAATCATGAATATACCATTTGAGCATTTTCACACCCTGAAAGCTCTCACTTTTCTATTAAACACTTCGTGTCTTTCCTCATATTATTTTTCATTAATGAGGATATATCCTCAGGGTTGTTCTTTAACTTTGCTGCTCCTATTTCTAAAGCTAAAGATATTGAGTCTTTACTTGTATAACAAGATCAAGTACTAAAAGCTGCTCAAGTTAATGAGTTTTATCTAAGATGTTTAACCATTCTTGTTTCATTCTCTTTTTTTCTAGACTCCAAGGACCAGGATGTGACAATTAAATCATTTGCAGTTCTAGAAACTGCTGCACCCATCCAATCTATACCAGTGGTACCAAAAGAAAACCTAATGTACCCCAGAGGTCTCCTACCTCTGCCTTCAAAGAAGCCCTGTATGCAGAGTCCTCCTTCTTTAGGCCTGATAGAGTCACCTGAGCTTGCTGCTAACAGTACTTCTGTGAATGCTATCTCCCTCACATCTGGAATTACAAAGGGTCTGAACACATGGTCACTTCCCAATGAGTGTGAAAAAGCTCCATTTACCATAATGGAGCCTGCAGGCATCTCAGCCCTTAATGGAGACTGCCTCATGCAGCCAAGTCGGACTTGCTTAGGCTGCTTCATGGAATCGAAGGATACTGTGGAACCTGAGCCAGGGATCAGTCTAAAAGTTGGCGATCTAAATCGAGATTATGAAACCTGTGCAGTCTCTGATATAGGGATTCAATGCATTAATGCTGGAGAAAACATAAAATATGGAGAACAGCTACTCTCAGACCAGCTCCTAAGTTTCCCCCTACATAAATCAAGGGCAGGAGATAGACAAGATGTGGAGAAACCTGACATTGACTTGGAAGATCCAGCTCAGAAAAGTTACTATGAGGCATTACTATTAGATAAGTGCAATACAGAAGAGTCTTTACTGGCAAATTCCAATCAGGACTGGGGATACTTTGAGACTTTCATTAGTGAGAGTAAGATTGAACTGCTTGATCTGTGTTCCAAGAATGAGTTGTCTGTCAATCTGTTCTCTGAAGAAGATGTGGATAACTACATGTTTGATGATGATGAATCAACATTGGGCAGTGATGTCTGCTCCCTGAAAATTCGATATGAATCCTTCCAGGACAATGTTCGAGACAAGACAACTCTTCTGATGCAGGAGGATGCCCAATTCAACTTCTTTCCCAGTGTCTTTACAACTTGCCCCAAGAGGGAGCCTAAGAGTGGGGCCCTAAAGCAGACCAGTGATCTCTCCCAATTCAAGATTCCTGATATGAGTATAATCTGGGGAGAGGAAGATAAAACCATGGAGAAGAAGAAAGGAAAAGAGGAAGCAGAGGAAGACAAATGCACAGAGAAAAAGAATGAAAAGGATAATGGAGAAAAATCTGTCTTAAATAAACCATGCAATGGGACTGAAGTCGAGCAATTTAAGAATACAAAGCAAGACCAGCTTACTAATTCTTTGGAGGCATCAGGGAATTTTAGTGAGGAAAGTTCATTCATTGAAATATCATATGATGCAATGGGGGAGATCAAGGACTGTAGCCGCTATATGGCCCGGGACACCAATTCTGGCAGCACCTCCACCCAGCAAAATTATGGGCTGAGAGCTAAGAGAAAAGTCAGGTATAGTGAAGATTATCTATATGATGTTGACTCACTAGAAGGTGAAAAAGTCAATGAGAGGAAGGAATGGCTCCCTGGTGGTTCCAAAGATGAAGATGATGATGAATGGTGTCCTAAAAAGAGAAGAAAAGTAACCCGTAAAGAGCCTCCGGTTATTATCAAATATATCATCATCAATCGCTTTAAAGGTGAGAAAAACATGCTTGTGAAACTGAGTAAGGTGGATGCCACTGAGACCACAGTAAAACTGAATGAAGCTCGGATCAACAAATATGCCAAGCTTGCCCCTTTGAAGGGTTTTTGGCAAAAGAAGAAGAGGCAGAGAAACAGCAACACAAATTCCAACAAGACACCCTTATGCCAAAAGCAAAGCTTTGAATCAGGTAGCTTTGAGGTGCCACCAGCTCGCAAGAGAAAATCTAAACTTGGTAGCAGGCACAGGGTTCAAAGAATCCCATCCATGGAAACTTCAGCAAGTAGTAAGCATGTTTCATTCTGTACTGATCAGAGACAAACTAGTAATTGTAAAGAAGATGTAGGTCTGGGAGGTGCATTGAAACCAGCAACTCTGGCTTCCTCCAGCCATGCAAATGGACCACATTTAAATGATATCACAGGCCCTGATTCAGCGCAAGGCAAAGCAGAATTTAAGGGTCCAGAGCGTAAAGTGCTGAACAAAATCAAATTTAGAAGTGAAGCTAGGTTAAAATCCAAGAAAATCAAAGCTGGGCAAGAGAGCAAGGCAGTTGTTCAAATGAACCCTCTTTCAGAAGACAAATGCCCCAAGGACAATTTGAAGGATGAAACTGTTTCTGGAACCTCAAATATTTCCCATCTACCTGAATTTCAAGAGGTAAAAATTTCAAAGAATTCTACTTTCCTACCAACCACTTGCTCTTCTGAATTATCACCATCCTCTGCTAATGTTGCTACTAATATACCTGTTATCCCTGGAGGGTATCTTCAGACACTGTTAGATGCTTCTGACTTGTCAAATAATACTGGTCTCTCATACTTCACTCACCATTCTCCAGAGGAAAATGAAGATAGACTCACTCAAACAGAAAAATCATTTGTCCCTCTCCAGCCTTCCCAAGACTGTATGCTTTCCTTGCCTTCTGTGTCAGAACTGCAGCAGTCAACCCATAATTTTAAAATGGAATCAAGCAACTACGGAAATGTGTGGCCCAACAAGCCTACTCCTGGTCCCCAGGAATTCATGACTGAAATCTCAAGGGAGATAGATACAACTCAATCTGTTGAATTTGGAGTTTCACAAGTGGTTTCCATGGAAAATAATCTCACAGCTACAACATATAATCCAGTCTGCCTCAACAATGGAGACAGTAATGGCAACAGGGTCCTATATGCCTCTGTGCAAGACACCCAGCTCCAAACTGATGATTCTTACCAATTATGCCACTATAATAATGGAGAAATCTGCTTTCCTTTCCAGCAGGGCCCAGTCAATATGGATGATGGCCGGCTCTTTAACTTTGATTCAGTGGCCCCACTGGCAGTCAACTCAAGCAATTATTGTTACTTAAACTTGAAATCCTGTGAAAAGGATGGTGATGATGATATCGTTGATGACTTTCTGGCCCATTGCAGTCCTAAGCTGGTGATCCAGCAGAGTATTGATGAAGTAGCACCACTGAAAGAATCCACTGACCTCCTAGATATCTCAAATTTTACTCCTGACAAATTCCGCCATTCTTCTCTCTCAGAAATGTCCCCACCTGACACCCCCAGCCTCTCTCCTCAAATTGCTAGATGTGAGAATATCAAGACACTAGGAACACTGAAGTGTTTCCAAGAAGGTATCCCAGAACCACTGAACAATATGGACAAAATCAAGTGGGATGATGGTAATTTACAGCACATCCACGTGGATGATGGATTTACTTTAAATAACCATCAGTTTCAGTTCCATATGTTCAACGATGAGGATTCTGTAAGTCTGCTTCCCCAAAACCTTTGCCTATCAGCATATAATAATCCATCTTGTCAACTGAGTTCCAATAACAAGGTGTCAAAATCAAGAAAGAAAACTTCACCAAGCAAGAATGGGACTATAAACCAAAGCTCTTCTCAGAAAAATCCCAGGAAACGATCCCCCAAAGCCAATAACAAAGGAATTGAAAAACCGCCTGGAAAAGCCTCCCGCCAGACTACTAAGTCAACAAAGAAAGGAAAATACATTACTACAATCAATGGAGAGAAAATGCAAGTTGGCAACGGCCGTGGGGTAGGTCAAATAAATAATATAACCTCAGGTGGCAAGACATTGACCGAATGTATCCAAGATGGTAGCCCTGTGTCTTCTGCAAAAACGACAAGTCAGAAAAGACTTTCTGGAGATTGGGCTTTGGGAAAGGAAAGCAGCCCAGGCTGTTGCAACATGAACTTGGGTACCAACACCAATAGCCTGCTGGATGATGACCAACGGGAATTTCAAGAGCCCTCCTATATCTTATCCAACATTGCTTCTGGTATGGCAGATGTGCAGAGATTTATGATGGCCTCTATAGAGCCCCTTTGGGAACCCATGGAACACTCTGGAGACCCCAACGTATTCTACTCTCCTGAGTCTAATAGCCTAAAATTAAAAACCCTCAAAATATTGGCTGGGACACCACTAGAGTCTAAGAAAAAAGTCAACAGTGTGTCCCCAGGAGCCACTAAGAATCACAGATCCATCAAGGGTGTGAGTAAAAGCAATGGGAAAGCACCAATAGGTGAACCTGGTCGTGCAAACATACCATATAATGAGGACTCTCACTCTGCCTTCTTTGATAAAAAGTATAGCAACCTGAGCACTTTAGGTAATAATGGACCAACACACAAAAAGTTATATCGTCACAAATCAAGTACCAAGTCCCTGAGAGATGATAAGTGTAAGGGAAAGTGTATGCAACGTGAACAGGTCCACAAGGATGAGGCTGGGACAGCTTCTTATGAAAGACTGAGGTAATACTACACTAAAATGGCTGAGATGGTGCACCATTAGCTTTCCTCCTGTGTGCTAAGCCCACAGTCACTCATTTTTTCCTTCTTGAGAGCAACAAAAATTTGCATGAAAGAAACTGTCACATTCCCTTCTTTTTCAAGTAAAAAGTGCATGAACATGCCTTTACCTTAAAGCCACCCAGAAGTTTGAACATTATTTTTGTGGCTTGCCAAGGGATCAATATCTCACAAGGCTACTTTTTCTGCTATTCAACATTCGTTTTTACTTATTAAGAAAATGGGACTTAAATATGCTCATGAGTCATTTTGGGAAGGGAAAGTTTTCACATTATGAAAAAAATGTAAACAACAGACTTATATAGTCATATAGACAAAAGCCAAGGTAACCTAAATAAAAGAGCATAATTTGAAGAACAAAATCTCATGTGGCAATTAGGAGTGCTTTCTAGTGCCCCTTGGTATTTGTATCTTTTTCTGTACTATATGACATCAAGCATAACGTAAACAAATTTAAATTGTATGATCTCTTTGTGGGACATACACTAAAGATAACTAAGATGGCATAAATTATTTGTTTTTTCTGGAGGGATTTTGACTACAATCTCCTAAAAGCAGATATGGCATTTTGGGTTTTACCTGTGTTTGAAGAAGAGACTCGCATGTTCCAGAAAGACATTTGATTTTTCTGTTTTTATTTCTTTCAAAATATGCCTTGTGATATGTATGTTGACATGTAAGTGCTTAAAGAAAAAAATTAATTGTGGGAATAAGTCTCACAAGGCAAACTTTAATTTGACATTCTATGTAAAAGACTTAAAAAAGTCATACAGTTGCACAAGTAGTTTACACACTATTTACCCACAAGGAAAAAAGTAAAACATTGTACCAAACTACAAACAAGTGGCTGTATTGTATATATTTTTACTTCTATATCAACATTTGGTTGTGAGTATTTGGGGAGCTTGTCCCTATTGATTTACTAGAAATATTCCAGTGATTCTTGCTATCAACCACCCCCACTTATGTGGATAGCACCTATAGATCACAGTGGAAAAAATATGTTGTGTTACACAATTTACCAAAACTTAAAGGATACTGTTTGAAGTGTGCCAAATTTCCTTACCTCATCTTACAGATTCACCCCACAATTTAAAGCTTATTAATGAATTGAAATATATATATATACATAATTACATTATTTAAAATATTTAACTTTACTGTCCTTTATGGATATATGAACAGTTAAACAAGGCACAATAAAGGTTTGTTTGTTCCATTGTCTAATGGTTAAAATGTTGGAAAAGTCTGGAAGTCGCAACAGCTAAGTCCATCAGGGACCCAGGTATATGCATTTATAGTACCTTTCGAAAGGAAACAAACAGCTTCTTGAAGGTTTGTTTTTAAAAGTGAAATCTGTAGCTGAAAATTATTTAAAGGGCAAAGTTATATTGCTGATACTTTATATCTCAGTTTTATATTTTATAATAGTCTGGGATAAATTATAAAATAGTTATAAAATCAACACTTAAGAGAAATAAAATACATATATGGCTTTTATTTAAGTAGTTTCCTAAATGTTTTATTCCAGTTCTGTCAAGTGCATTCATATCATGGCTTTAGTGTTTTTTAAGTGTTTAATCTTGCAATGCCAATGTCATTTAAAGAAAATGTTAAGGCATATTGGTCCAATTCTTATCAGTTACATATATATGTATATCAAATAAATTGAACAAGTTGTGATAATAAATAATTGGGGTTATATAGTAGATGACTAGTATTTGATGCCAAATGCAAAACTCAAATCTCAATTTCTATATAAATTTTTAATTCATAGTCTTTATTTTTACCCCTTCTCCTTTAAAAAAAACTACACAGCTTCAACTTCCCTCATTACTAGCTTTTTGTCCCCCTTTATTTCACCACTTGACTCCTAACATTTGTTCTATTTTCCTTGCACAGTTTAAGGCCTGTGTGTCTGATGACTGATGCATAATGGCACAGATGAGATAATGGATGTGAAAGCGCTTTGTAGATCTTAAAGTGCTATACAGATATAGGGGATTAATATTATTAATGTTGTTGGTTGTTGTTGTTGTTATTCTTAATATTCTTACTAATATTGTTACTAACCTATTAACTTGTGAATATATAGACTGTGGGGTGGGAGGGTGGAGAATAAGTGGGTGGGGGAACGGGGAATTTTTAAAAAGGGGAAGATGTTTCAAAGAAAAAATTTAAGCAAAATGTGAACCTACCTAGTCATTGCCACCTAAATATATTCACAGACAGAAAAAGCAACACGTGCAAGTAGTCAGAGAGAATGGAAGGAAGCCTGTCTAATACGTAACTACACACACTTCCCAGTTCATGGTTCCTTTCAACAACCTGCTCTACTACTTACAGCTAGGTAGTAAAATGAATAAGACTGTGTTCTTGATGGTGTGATTGTGTGTGTCTATTGGGAAGAGTGGGTAAGGAGTATTTTGTGGGGCTGCTCTGGGCCTGTTCCTAGGCTTTGGCACTCTGTGTGCAGTGAGTCCTAGAAAATTCATTAGTGGAAAGGTAAGGTACCAGATGAAACATAACTCCTGCTCTACAGCTGCCATCCAAAGGGTAAAATAATAGAGCTGGAATACTTTCTTCTACTTCTCCACTGTTCGTACAAAGGACTACCACTGGTTCCTGGGAACTGGTCTTTGTTTTGTTTATGTTTGGAGTTTTGTTTTGTTTTGTTCTGTTTTACAGCTAAATTTTGACTTAGAATCTTCAATTCAATATTTATTGTTCTCCCCAAGACTCCAGGCCTCAAAATCATTTGCTGGTTTATAGGAATGGAGTACTCTCTATGTAACCAAAAGGTGCCAATTAAAGAGATTGTTCCATTAAATACGATATGTTTCATAAAAATTGGATAAATTGTTCCAGTTTTTCTCAATTTAGCTTTGAATTAGAAGGTAGGATAGGACGAAGGATAGCATAAATGGTTTGTTGGAAAGAAACCATTTTCTGGTTAGGATGTTTTAATCATGAGTCCTTTGGAATGGATACTGTTTCTCTTGCTCCTATGGAGCCCATTCATTAGGAGCCAATTCTAAGGCATGGTTCATCCCTTTCTCCAAAAGAGGTTGCGGTTTTAAATTAACTTTTCTTCTACAATCAATATTTTGACTATAGTATGCTATATAAATAACTAACATAAATTACTTATTATTAACCAATTATTTTGTAATAAAACAAATAAGAAAGTAGAGAAATAGGGCAAGGCAGAAGTTGTTCGTTCTCTTTGGTAATATCCAAATAGCAAAAAATCTTTCTCAGTTCATTATACTCTGAGTTACTCAGATTTTAGGCTTTTTTCTTTTGGTTCTGTGCTCTCGCAATTCTTTTTCATCCCATCACAACATAGTAGGCCTCCCATTTTGGAGATTTCTTATTCAACCAGCTGCCTTAGTAGAGTGAGGACCAGTGATTTTTTTGAAATAGTTTTCTGCCCTATTACTGATACCTTAAGTCAGATATGTGGAATTTTCCTTGGTGTAAAATTTCTGATTGCCGCTCCCTTCAAAACTCTTCTCTAAGAAACTGCTTCTATTTAGTGCCTCCTCAATAGAATTCTCTTTAAAATTTTTCTTCCTAGAAGTCATACTCTCACCTAATATTCTTACTTAATATCAGTGCTTGTTTTAGGATTTTTCTTCTTTCATAATATTACATTTCACCTCCCCAAATTGTCAGGGTCTATGAACTTCAGCCAGAATTTTTTCCAGAAGTTTAGAGAGAAAACTTTTTGTTCTTAATTACATTGAGTTACCTTGGAAATTTTTGAACACACATTCACATATGCAGGATTACATCACTGAGGAAAGTTAGAAACTTCTTTTCCTGAAAGATCTATAAGATAGATCTGATCCCCTTTCTGACCCAGTTAGGAGTAAGACTATGTGGAGCAGTGCTGAAACAGTGGTCTTGACCAATGCTTGTCTAGACTGAGTTATGTTTGGACTGTGATAATTGGTTTAAATCAGTGGCCTCTCCAGTGTCTCATTTACCAGCTTCCTTACTTATGCTGCTTCCTCCTAGATTTTCCTTCTGACTTCTTGTTACTCTGTGCAAGTGTGTGTTAAGGCCTTATTGTTTCCTAAATGTTTTTAAACCTCCTGCACTACCTTGACCATCAGTTCTTTAGCCATCTCCCTCATGTCCTCGGTGCTAGGTGGGCTTTTGGGACAACTTTCACCTTCTCTGACCTTTATCCTAGCTGGGGAGCATCTGCATGTATATGAAGCAGGGTAATGGTGTGTCTGTGTGTGTGTGTGCATGTGTGTGTGTGTGTGAAAGAGAGAGAGAGAGAGACAGAGAAGCATAAAGGAAGCTTCTGGATAGTATTTTGTGTCCTGTCACATGAGGTTCTGCAGTTCAAGTGAATTTCTGTTTTAGTGGATCTAATTAGTGTTTACCGCCTAAAGGAAAGAAAACATATCCAAGGACCTCTTTTTCTATTACCAAGCTGAACCACTCTGATGCAGATCTACCACATCTTCAGTTACAGACTTAAGATATTCCTGAATTGAAGAGTGCTAAATTTCTGTTCTGAAAAGAAAAATGGAACATTAGCTGGACCTAATTGCTAGAATTAGAACTATTTGTTTTCTCCTGTATTATTAAGAAACTGATTTTCATTTAGGAGTTTTAAAAGATGAATATCCATCACTATAAAAATATGTTCTTTTCTAAAATATAAAACAAATATGAGATTAGTTCTCTAATCATAAAATTCATGAATCCCATCATTATGTTTAGAAAGTTTAATACCAAATCAAGCATTTTAATAATGAATGGGGACCTTGTTAATATAATGTAGGACAGGAACTTTGTAAAGGTTTCTCAAGAACCTGAATATGGACGGGAAAAATTAGTTTGGCTACATTACTTGAGAAACACTGCCATCAGTTTTGAGAGTATTCAGTCAGTATCAGATTTTTTTGATAGCAGTACTCAAGCTACCCTTTAAGGCACATTTCTTTTGCTTAGATCATTAAACAGGTATGATCATGAAGGGAGCTCCAATTGCAGTTCCATGATACTGGAGATGTACTTTTGATTTCAGAAGCGTAACTAGGGTAGACGGAAAAGGACAGTGTAAAGAGAGGCTTAGTGCAAAGTTTAAAGTGTGAATGAGGCTCAAAATCAGTAGCTGGGTTAATAGTTACTAAAGACACTGAAGAAATAGTTGTCAACGAAATGGAAAGGATATCCATCTAGTAGATTCAGTGATTTCTGAGTCTTAGCATGTTGCCCCTGTAAACACAAAAAGGGAGACATTTAAATCATTCTGCCTTTTTGAGTGATGCTTGATTGTATAGCACAAAATTAAGCATAGAATGAAAACTGGTAGGGGCATTTTGTTTTTGACTACCAGCGATGAGGGTAGAAAGCTTAAGATGCTCAACTGGGATACATGTAGCACTGACTAGAGTTTGCTGCCTACAGAGTTTTGAATGTATTAGTCCTTCATTTAATTTCTATAAAACTGAATGCACCTCTTTATAAGTTACTGATTTATGGTGCTAAATAAAAATATATTATTCCCCATTTTCTCCTCTCCCTTAAACATCTAAGAAAAATTAAAATAAAACATTAGAGGCCCTTTTTATGAATGTAACCTGCGTCTGATTGACATATGACACTGCAATTTTAAAATGTTAGGAAATTATTCGCCTTTTTTTAGAGTTAAGCTTTATAAATAATCTGTAGAGTCAACTGAAGTAAAAAGCTTAAGGATCACTCTTAAGACGCCTACAAAATCTTGTATATTTTTAAGTGTGCCAATTTGTAACATATTTTGTAAGTGTATATTTTTCTTAGAAAAGTGCTGTGAAGTGTCTGTATGTGAGAATTTTCCTTTTTCTGCACCAATAGGTGCTAATAAAAGGATATTTATTTCAAAATTTCTGGTTTTAGAAACCATAATACAAAGAAAAATACACTTTTGTTGGGAATTTTGTAACAGAAAACATGTTGTGAAAGAGTATAGTGATCTTGTGCAAAAGAAAATGGAAATTTGTGAGCTTATTGCTGTTTTATAGATTTTTTCTTGTAAATTATTCTTGTAACACCTCTGGTTTTGTTGTTCTTGTTGCAAAAATTTTAAATATTTGTGACTGAGTGTGTGGTGAAACTGTCATAATGTTACCTAGCTGAGTTTTGTTATTGTTTATGGAATAAATAAAAAAGAAAAGTTTAAAATACTGCCTGAGAATCATATATCAAGAAAAATCAAACTATTTCTAATTAAATTCTGTGTCCCAAATAAAAAGGTCTTTGTTGTGTAGAGCAGTGTATCTCAAATTATCTGTGATGAGAGACCAATATTTTTCTCCAATCCATCACAAACTCATATATAGTTTGAGTTTACACAATAGAGATGTGTATCTTAAAAAGTCAAATAGAATAAAGAAACACAAATTCAAAGTGTGCTCAATTCAACATGTAAAATAACATTTTAAAATCAACATGACCATGTTGGGAGGGGAGAACTGCAAAAACTTGATACTCTGAGACAAATCAAATTGCCATAGGTCATAACTGCATTTTGAGTAACACTTTGAATAGGACTAACAACATTTCCATTATCTGGGAACTTTGGGAGATGCTACCCCAGGGCTATTCCACTGAATCAGAATATGAAATTTAACAAGATTTCTAGAATATTTATATGTTAAAGTTTGGGAAGCAATGGATGGGCTTTTGTGCAGGGAATTATTTTGACCTTCAAATTCGAGTTCAGTGTCCAAAGATGTTCAGTGTCCTTTTATAGCTCCGATGGA